CTTCACTTGCTATGATTCATATCACACCTATTCAGAGAAAACAAATGTGCTGAATTACCAGTGGTTGGTGCAGTGGAGAAGAGCCAAAGAAAATCAGATAATTAAGAAAATCAGAAACCTCTGTGGGTGTCCACCACAGCTGAGGCAAGGAGGAAACTCTCCCAGATGCAGTCATGGCTAACCGACAAAAGCCAATCTCAGATGAAGGAAGAACAAATGGGTCAGGCAAACGGTGTATTTGAAACAGCTGCTGTGTTCTGGAAGCTACGCTGCATGATCATCCAGAGACCTCTAAGATCCTGACATACCTACCTCCTCCTCTTCTGTGCTTCCACCAAACTAATTTAAGAGCCATATTTGCAAATTCTTCTTCAAGGCCTTGCAGAGTGGGTAAAATAAGTCCTAGGTATCTTACAGGCCATTTAAACTAAACATAAATGTAGGAAATTTAAAACTGAAGCCCAGGAGATGCAGATCAAAACCACAATGAGATATCATTTCACACCACAAAGACTGGCCCACATCCTTAAGAACAAAAGCAACCGGTGCTGGCGCGGATGTGGTAAGAAAGGGACCCTCCTTCACTGCTGGTGGGAGTGCTGACTGGTTCAACCCTTTTGAAAAACAGTATGGGCGATTCTCAAAAAATTAGAAATTGAGCTCCCATTTGACCCAGCAATACCACTCCTGGGAATATATCCCAGAGAGGCAAAAAAGTATAGTCGAAGTGACATCTGCACTTGTTTGTTCATTGCAGCACTCTTTACAATAGCCAGAATCTGGAAAAAACCCGAGTGCCTGAGAACAGATGACTGGTTAAAGAAACTTTGGTACATCTACACAGTGGAGTACTATGTAGCTGTTAGAAAAGATGAAGTCATGAAATTTACATACAAGTGGTACTACATGGAAAGTATCATGTTAAGCGAAATGAGTCAGAAAGAGAGGGACAGACATAGAAAGATTGCATTCATCTGGGGAACATAAAGTAACTAAATAGGAGACTAACGCCCAAGAGTGGTCAAGATTAGTAGCAGGAATTTTGCTCCATGGCTTGGAGGCCAGCCACACATGATAGGGGGAAAGGCAGCTCTGATAGAGAAGGGAGCACCAAATAAAGGATGTTGGGAGGATCCTCCTAGGATGGGAGATGCATGCTGAAAGTAGACTACAGACCAAACATGATTGCCACTCAATGCCTCTTTTACAAACCACAACACCCAAAAGGATAGAGAGAACAGAGGGGAATGCCCTGTCACAGAGGCAGGATGGGATGGGGGGATGGGGGAATGGGAGGGATACTGGAATCCGTGGTGGTGGGAAATGGGCACTGGTGGAGGGATGGATGTTTGATCATTGTATAATTGAAACCCAAGCACAAAAATTTGTAAGTCTGCAACTGTACCTCATAATGTCTCACTAATAAAAATCAAAAAGAAAAAAACTGAAGCGAGCCCAAACGGGGCCAGAGCGATAGCACAGTGCGTAGGGCATTTGCCTTGCACATGGTCGACCTGGGTTCGATCCCTGGGATCCCATATGGTCTCCTGAGCATCTCCAGGAGTATTTCCTGAGTGCAAAGCCAGGAGCAACCCCTGAGCATTGCCGGGTGTGACCCAAAAAGAAAAAAGAGAGAGTCCAAACTGAGCCCTGGTGTTTGTGAAGGCCAACTCCAACTTCTCTTGAGAAGGATAATAGTGATGCTGACACACGAAGGTTTCCTTCCCTTTTCAGTCAATCCTACCAAGCCCATGCTAAGCATCAGGACACAGCACCTCCTTCTCCATCTTTATGTTCTAGGTGCATCACACCGATTTACTATCCCCGGGTTGGCATCTCTGCCTCTTGGATCCTAAGCCTGTCTCCAAACTATTTCCCACATACGGGGAAAGCAGCAGCCCTGAAACACACTTTCAGCTATTTCATCTCTGAGCTTCAGGCCTTACAATGGCTCCCAATCACCTTCACGATAAAAGTCTAAACCTCTGTGGTGCCACTCTGAGGGCATCGGAGCAGTGTCTGGCCTCAACTGGGGCCTTCTGCTGGCAAGCCTGAGAGCAAATTAAGCTCAGCATTGTTCCCAAAGTCTAGAAAGCTTGTCCAGAAACTAAGCTAAATCTTCTGTCCAGGAAGATTTCCCCTTAGGTGTCAAATACTTCTGGGAATGAGGAACATTGTTTTCAGTGTTCCCAGAGCACCATATGGAGACATCTACTGTTTCAGTGGATGTTTGGTTCAGTTTCTTTCATTTTATTGAAGAATTGTGATTGATATTGTTGATGACAGGGCTTCATGCCTGTCATCCTTCCAACAACCTTCCAACCCCATCCCTCCCCCCCACGACCCCCCCCCGCCCCCGTGCCCAGTTCAGTTCCCTCCACCCCAGCTCCAGGACTTTGGAGGGAGGAAAAAATGAGGGGGTGGGGGAAGACTTTAATTCTTGCCTTTCTTATAACCATGGAATTAATCTTGGAATTAGAAATTGGAATTAACCTTGGAATTAGAAATTACCAATCAAGAGAAAAATATCAATCAAATTTTTTGCTTTATTTTTGTTTTGAGTGTGGGAGAGTACCAAGGATCACACCCAGGGCCTTAGAACCAGGGAGAGTCACGGTGGTTAAAGTGCATGCATGGCAGGCCCCAGGGCACCACAACAGAAGGGGGGAAAAAAAACAGGGTTTTATATACGGGCAATGCACACTACCACGAAGCTACAGTCCCACTCCGAAAGGTCAACATTCTGAGCAGAAAGCCTTCATCAGGAAAGCAAAGTATCACGTGACCTCCACCCCTTCCTCTGACATCAGATACCGACTCTGCCAGCCCGTGGTTTGTTCTCTTTCAGCCATGTAGCTTTGTGGATGAGTAGAAGTTTAAGTACACTCCAAATTCACAGGTTTTGCAGCCCCACACTGAGCACTGCCACATGTGACCCCAAAACAAAAACAGACTTAATGCTCATACCCTCAATACATAAATACTAGAATACCGGTTAAGCAGTGCAATAAAACTCAGAAAAATCAGACAGACAAGTCAAAAGAAACAAGTTAGAAAAGGGCCAGAAAGATAGTACAGTGGGTAGGAAGCCTGCCTTGCCTTTCACTTGGCTGGCCCAGATTCAGTTCCCGAATCCCAAAAGTTTCATCACCTACTCCCCAACCCCCAGCACCACCAGAAGCAACTCCTGAGTGCAATCTACCTAAAGAAATAATCAGTGAGGTGAACTAAAATGTGCATATAAAGATTGCTTACTGCAACATTATTATTTCCACTGAAAAAGACCGTCGGTGTTCAAAAGCTTCCTTATTTATACTTTCTATTCATATACATACTGGAAGAAGTCTATACAGCATAAAAAATACTTCTCAAAGACAGAAGTTAGAAAAAATTATCATTCTATTAAGTAAAAAGAGTGAACAGCTTTGTATATACAAGATGAACAAAAGAGTATATGTCAATACATAAAACACTACTTAGCAATTATTTTTTTAAAGGAAAAAAGTCCACGTAGAAGCAACATGGATAAATTTCAAAATGAAAATAAGAAAAGAAAACAAGGAAACCACAATAGGAAGGGGGAAAAAATAGACACACAAGAGTAAGTACTGCACTGTGTCTATTTATAGGAGGTTCAACAACAGGCAAAGCTAATCTAAGGAGATAAAACATGTTATTTCAAGGAAGCGTCTCAAATGCAAATAGGAATAAGGAAAGTTTTGGAAGTGATGGTAACAGTCTCTATTTTGATGTCAGTGGCAAGCACATGAGCATAGACATATGCAAAAAATTATGTAATAAAGCCTCAGGACAAGTATACATAAGTAAATAATAAAATCATCAGGACATTACTTTAAAATTTGTTCACTTTACCCCTGATATAATATATCTCCACAACTAAGTAGAGAAATTGCCGGGACTGGAAGGACAGCCCAGGGGTAATTACGGTCCAAGTACACTGTTTTGCATGTGCTGGCCAGGTTCAATCCCAACACTACAGATGGTTCCCTGGGGTCACCAAGGCCCAAGCCCTGAGTGTCTGCCAGGTAGGTAGGGCATTTGCTTGCCAGGAATATCCCCAGAGCACCAGATGGCATGACTCAAAAACAAAAGAAAAGAACAGAAACGACATTGCATATAAAAGATAACTTCTGTTTGGGTAGCTATATTTACTAGCAAAGTAAAAACAAGAATGTAAAGTATAGCAAAACATTAAAACTGGTTCATTCTTGGATTGTATTTTATTTTTATCTTATTATTTTAACTTTCTTCCATTTCAACATTCATTTCAATAAATCATGTGAATTTTGCTTGTTTGTTGGTGGGGAAACCACACCCAGGGGAGCTTATTCAAGAGCCACTTGCCAGGCCCAGGGAACCATGAGGTACCAGTTAATGAGCCCGGTCTCTGGCATGCAAAGTTTGCACCCAGCCCACTGTGCAATTTCTCTGGCCATATAATAATAATATTATTATATAATGCATATTATGCATATATATAATTTTCTAATTATGCCATGCTTCTAAAAAAATTATTGTGCTTGTGGCTATCACAAAACTATGTAATCTGCAAAAAAACCTGATGAACAGGTTTTTTTAAATTCCATCAAGTATAAACACACATATCTGCAATGTTTTCAGTCATATCAAGAAAAACACCAAGCATCTGATAGAGATTAGCAAGTAAATAGATGAGCAAGTAAACTGAGAGATCAGGACTAAACTGTGTAGTGACTTAGGAACCTGGTTCTGACTTTAAATTTTAAAAAAAAAATTAAATAGAAAAAACAGGGATCTCAAAATGCAATAAAAATTAAAATTTCCTGGAAAAAGGTCTTTTTTTTTTCATTTACTACTTCAAATATTTGAGACTGATTTAACTTCCAAGCAAAATGCCCCAAGAAAATTTTTTTTATAATGACAGTACACTGTGAGTTTCAGAAAATTTCTCAGAATGCAAAAGTAATAAATGAGAACAAAGCTAAAGAAGACATACAAACCTCTGATTGTACATGCCCCGAAAGTTGTAATTAGCTCTATAATTTGGGATGGGCTTTGGGTCTAGCGGCCTGTAGATGGCAGGCTCTCCCCTTTTCATAGCGAGCCCATTCAGTTCCACAGTTGGCGTTATACTACCTGTTCAAGAGACAGCAAAGGCACACAAGTGAGATATTTCCACAGGAAAGCATGCAAACCCTATATTTGTATATTACAACGGATGACAAGAGTAAATGGACCATCTTTATTATTTTCTAAGACAAAGTATAAAATACATACAAGACAATTGTCTTTACTAAACTCTCGGAGTATTTTGCAGCATTTTCCGTAGATTAATGGTCCAAAATTCAACTTTATAGAAATGTTATCTCAAACCAAGGCAAATACAAAGTTCAGAAATTTCTCAGTTTGATTACAAATTTTCCAAAAAAGTTTACATATATGTAATATTATTACTTACCCAATTCCATATTACTTACCCTACAAAGTTCACATATATCTAATCATTATCAGAAACTCATATCTGTGAATATTTGTATTTGTAAGTAAACAAAGAGAATTACCAAATGAATACTGGGTCATCAATTATCCTTGAAATTATCTAATGTAAATAATTTCTCACTTTTTCCTCATATCAACAGGACAAAGCAAATGTAAGTGAGGCTCTTTGTAGATAATCTTTAACACACACACACTGACGCATTTGTCAATGTCTGAGATTTGTTTTAAAATAATTCAAAGGACTGATAGATGAGGAACACGGCCGGTCACCTGTATTGGTAACTGCTGAAGCATAGAGACGAGTGCATGAACTTTCAACATCTTAGTCTCTCTATTTTTTAAAAGTTTGAAAAAACCTCATAATAAATAATAACATAAGTATTAAGCCATGGTATACTAAGTACCAAAAAATTATTTAATAAAATCTATGTGTATATGTTCTGTATAGCAAATTACAGACGCTTTTAAAGAAAATAAAATTTATTTGCAATGTAAACTCTAAGGTCTTTCATTTGCATGGTGTTTTTCGTGCCAATACATTCAAGAATTTCGTGCCAAAACATTTAGTCACAGGCAGAAGGGGACGTGCTGAGTGCAACAAGGAGACAAGGACTGGCATAAAACGCTAACACAGCCGTGGGGGTCTTGACAAAAACGTACGACAGTCACGTCAGAAGCAATTTTTCAAGTCAATTTAAATTGCTCACTTTAAATCACAGTTCTAAAGAATTCATAAGAAACTACAGGAAGTGTGTAATAAGAACAGAAACATCAGTGAGTTACTCAAGCAGCAGAACGCAGATCTGCCACGTGAGGGCCTTAGCCTGATCTCAAGCAAACGGTGGACCAAGCTCCACAGGGTACCACTCCAGTATCCCAAAGCAGCATCACCTGTGGCACTAGGGCCCAAGCATGCCAGTCCAAGCACCTGTCACGCATGGACCACTGAACTGAACATGAGGAGTGGCCCCACACCCCCTAAATGCCACTGGGGGTGGACCCTTATAAAACAGTGAGACAAACAGGAACTAAACTAAGGTTAGTGTAAGGAGTGATCCCTGAGCACAGAACCACAAGTACTGAACACTGCCAGGTTTCGCCCAAGAGATGAAGACAATGACAATGAAGAGAGGAGGAGGAGGGGTGGGGGAGGGAGAGGAGAGGGAGAGAGGGAGAGTGGGGGGAAGGGAAGGCACACAGACTAATGGGATAGAAGAGAGATTCCAGATATGAATTCATACATGCACATACATGCACAGACTCGTAATCTACCTCAATGGAACTAGGTCAGTGGTAAAAGAAGTTTTTCAATAAATGGAGCTGGGAAATTTGAACTGACATATGCAAAAACGATGCATCTATATCACTAACTCTATACATAAAAATTAACTCAAAATGGAATAAAGATTTAGATACCAGACCTGAAATCATCAAGTACATGGAAGAAAACATAGTTGATGTCCTCAAGGTCCTCAATGACAGAGATTTAGAGACTCAATTCCACTGACCAAAGAAACAAAAGCAAGATAAACAAATAAAAGGGCCAGAGTGATAATGCAGCAGGTAAGATGCTTGCTTTGCATGCATGTAATCCAGGTTAAATTCTCAGTATCCTAGATGGCCCCCCGAGAAATGCCAGGAGTAAGCCCTGAGCACAACCAGGTGTGGCCCAAAATTTAAAAAAAAAAAAAAAAAAACAAAGAAACTATGAAATTAAACAGCTTCTATAACAAAAGAAAATCAATCTAAGTAAAAGACCATAAAATAATCATAAAAATTAAAAATGGAAACAGAAATGCTGTATGATTCAGCAATATTCTCTGAGAATATTACCCAAAAGGTATGAAACACCCATTCCTACAGATAACTGCAGCTCTCCATTCAGAACAGCAGCTCTCACACTTGCCAGAGGATGGAATCGACTTCAACACCCATGACTGGGAAAAAGTTTTGGTATTTGTACTGCACAGAATACTACCCTGCTGGTTGAAAAAGTTGAAGCCACCACTTGGGACAAAATAGGTGGATGTTGAAGTGAGTCAAATAAGCGAAATTAGATGTATAGGATGGTTCCATTTGTACGTGGAATATAATAACACAAACAAAATAATAAAAAAAAAGAATAGGTGAGACTATGGTGGTCATGGGGGAGTGGAGCGAGGAATGTGGATAAGGGTCTCTTTGGTGGTGGGTAGCACTGCAACCTTGGTAGGATGGTGACCTTCACACACATAGAGGGTGAAGCTGAACCCTGAAATTCCATAATACAGCAAATCAGCAAGAAACCAATGAAAATGTTACATCCTTTAAAATATAACATAGAAGAGACAGTGAAGCTTTGGCAAAGTATCAGGCAAGGGAGAAAAAGATAAAAACGGCCAAGAAATATTTCATAGTAAATAGTGAGGTGGAATAGTGAGTGTGCTTCACTAATTAAATACAGACACTCAAGGCAAAATAAAACCTCGGGGACAACAAGAGCGACAGTACAGCCAAGAGCTTGCCTTTCATACCGCAGACTTGAGTTCGATCTCTGCAACCCAGGTGTTCCCCTGAGTCTTACCAGAAGTGATCCCTGAGCACAGAGCCAGGAGTAACACTTGAGCATCGCTGGGTGTGGCCCAGAAGAAAGAAAGGAGAAAGAAAAAAACAATTCAAGATCCTCTCTCCCTCCATTTCTTTCATTCCTTCTTTCTTCTTTATGGTATTTTGAAAAGAATGATAAAGTGAAGTACACAAAGTTTAAGCCTACAGCTTGAAGAATCACTATACATTTAAGAAGTCATGTGGGGCCAGAGCAATAGTATATAGCAGGCAGTGTTTGCCTTGCATGCAAGTGACCTGAGTTCAATCCCTGGCATCCCATATGGTTCCCCCAACACCACCAGGAATAATTCCTGAGTGCAGAACCAGGAGTAACCCGAGCATCATCAGGTGTGACCCAAAAAGGGAAAAAGAAAAGTCAAGGGACCACCATCCAGCTCAAAACAGAAGTATTTCAGGGTGGCTATGAGAGAGAGACAGAGACAGAGACAGAGAAAGAACAGCAAGAGGGGTAGGCCATGCACACAGCCAACCCTGGTTTGATCCCTGGTGTCCCAAATGGGCCCCAAGCACTTCTAGGAATATCCCTGAGTGAAAATCCTAGAGGAAGCCTTGAACACCACCAAGCATGGCCCAAACGCAGAGGTGAAAACTCCAGACACACTGGAGCCCGGAGGCAGCCTGCAGGCACACGGCCTAGGTGCAGTTCCCAGCACCAGGTCCCCAAGCATCACCAGGGTAGGCCCTGAGGCATTTCCATCACCCTTCAGGCACTTCCTGTCTTTTTCTGATGTCTACCATCATAGGTTAGCTTTCTCTCTTCTTCAAATCTAAATATGCATTATTCTTTCCCTCAGTGGTTTTATTGAACATATTAGTATTAGTAACCCTGAGGGCTGGAGCAATAGCACAGCAGTAGTGCGTTTGCCTTTCATGCAGCCAGCCCAGCCGAGCCAGGTTCAATTCCTCCGTCCCTCTCGGAGAACCCGGCAAGCTACCGAGAGTATCTCGCCCGCACGGCAGAGCCTGGCAAGCTCCCCGTGACGTATTCGATATGCCAGACACAGTAACAACAAGTTTCACGATGGAGACATTGCTGGTGCCTGCTCAAGCAAATTGATGAACAACGGGAGGACAGTGTTTGTTTGACAGATTAGTATTTTCATTTTGTTTGTTGCTAAAAAGTAATCTATTATACGAATGTACAGTCAAGACAGACATCAGAGTTGTTTTCAGTTTGGGGCTATTAAATATAAAACCATCTGAACATTTTGAATGGTGCGTTAGTGAACAAACCCACTCATCTCTCTTTGGTACCAACATACCAGTGGAATCACTGGGCCCCAGAGTAGTTTTATGTTTTACTGTTATCATAAAGTGCCTAAATATTTTCTAAATATTTCTTCAACACTAGTGGGCAATCTACAGCTTTTCTGGCAAGAGGGTCCCAGGGAGGAACATTCAAGGCAGGCGTTTTTACCACTGAGCTACATCCCCAGCAACCAGTGGCCCCAAAAAAACAAAAAACTGGAAATAATTTAAGTCATTTTAAGTTCCATATTGCATTAAACAGATACAAAAGGTATACAGCTCAGGGCCCAGAGAGATAGTATAGAGGGTAGAGTGTTTACTTTACATGCAGCTGACCCTAATTTGATCCATGGCATCGCATCTGGTACCCAGAGTCCTGCCAGGAATGATTTCCAAACACCCCCAGGTATAACCAAAGGCAGGGAGGGGGTAAGGGGGGAAAAGTATTCAGCTTAAATGAAGAAAAGGGGGGGGACTGAAAGCCAGGGAAATAACCCAGGTCATGGAGCACTTGGCTGGAATGTAGAGTCCCAGGTCCCACCCCGGGCACTTACATAGGTAACACGAACCCTCCATTTGTAGTCCAGTGTCTGCCCGCCAACACTGCCCCACCCCCACTGCGCCCCTTCCCCCAACGAGAAGGCTCCAAAGAAAATAAGAAAAAAAAAATTCTACCTTGGGGCCAAGGATGCAGCTCAAAAATAGAGAGCCTTTGCAAACCACAACACCCAAAAGGAGAGAGAGAACAAAGGCATTTCCTTTTCCAAAAGGAAATGCCCTGCCACAGAGGCGGGGCGGGGGGGGGGGGGGGGGGGGGGGGGGGGGGAGATACTGGGATCTGTGGTGGTGGGAAATGGGCACTAGTGGAGGGATGGGTATTTGATCATTGTATAATTGAAACCCAAGCACAAAAATTTGTAAGTCTACAACTGTACCTCATGGTGTCTCACTAATAGAAATTGGAAAAAAAATTAAAAATTTAAAAAAAAAAGAATGGAGAGCTTGCTTCATGCCTGAGACCTACACTTGATCCCCGGCAGCAGCGGGGAAATGCAAACTGTGTGAAAAGGTTCCCCCTTCCACGCACAGCAGCCGGGAGAAGCCAGTGTGTTCACAAAGCACCAGTGAGGTGACGTAGATGCACCGAGAGGTCTCAGCAGTCCAACATGCGGACCAAATTTTTATTTCAGACAGCTAAAGGCATTCTATTTCTATCACTTAAGTTTCAAAATCTCATATAAATTCCTCGCGTGGAAATTAAGCAACAAGACACTGTCTTAAGAGAAATGCTAGAAATTAATCTTTGTGAAGGAACATAGACGACAGGCAGGAAAGAGCAAACCAGGAGGAAAGGTTTGAATTGTGTTTTTTTTTATGTTAAAACAAACAGTTTTTGTTTTTTACTTGGGGGCCACACGCAGCAGTGCTCCAGGATCACTTGTAGTGGGGCGCGGGGGACAAGTACAGGAGGCCAGGGATAGAACCCGTGTCAGCTACAAGTAAAATGCACTCCTTACCTGCTGGACTTTCTCTCAAACCCGGGTTTCAATTCTTTTTTGAGTAAACCCTCTGTCCCCTCCAGAACTACACTGGCAGCACTGCATGAAGACACCGCTGCACATGCACAGCACAGAACACGCTGGGGGGCGGGGAAGGGGTGTTCAGGCCACACACAGCTGTGCTCCGGGACTATTCTTGGCTCTGTGCTTAGGAGTAAACCTTCGCAGCTCTCAGGGAACCCTACGTGGTCCAGGAACTCGAACCAGGGTCACGACCCACAGAATCCCCAGCAAACCTGTTGTACTATCTCTCCAGACACCCAGAACAGACTTAAAATACCATGTTTCAGGCAAAGCTAAGTACCTTTGTGTTCAGTGGGTAAGGGTTGGACCCAGACTACAAAATAAGACAAAAAGTAATACTCAGGTATTCACGGCTACAAAGTTGACAGTGATTTTTAGGTATGCTAGAGGAGTTGTCCGTATCGGTGATAAATATAAAATGGCTAAATATAGCCATACATAACAGCAATGATAAGTTCCTATGATGTACTAAGTAAAGGAAAGATGTCACAAATAATTTTCAACCAACCTATTACTAAGACTTGAGAAAACAGTTTTGAAAGAAGTTAGAAAAGTCCCGGGGCTGAAGCGATAGCACAGCAGGTAGGGCATTTGCTTTGCATGTGGCCAACCCGGGTTCGATTCCCAGCATTCCACATGGTCCCTTGAGCACCACCAGGAGTACTTCCTTAGTGCAAAGCCAGAAGTAACCTCTGAGCATTGCCGGGTGTGACGCAAAAAAAAATAAAATTTAAAAAAAAAAAAAACCTTTTGGAGCTGGAACGATAGCACAGCGGGTAGGGCATTTGCCTTCCACGCGGCCAACCCGGGTTCGATTCCCAGCATCCCATATGGTCCCCTTAGCACCGCCAGGAGTAATTCCCCAGTGAAGAGCCAGGAGTAACCCCTGTGCATTGCTGGGTGTGATCCAAAAAGAAAAAAAAAAGAAAAAGAAAAGTCCCTAGGAACTAACAGACATGCAATGAGTATTTGTTGAAAGAATTCATTGATTAATCAATCTGGGTACTTGACAAAATGGCTGGAGCTCGCACCAGCACAATGGAAAAAGTCAGGAAGGAAAAGGCTCTGACCTGATGGCTTCATTCAGATGTGGCACATAAATAACCAAAGCAAACTGACAAAGCAAAAGCCAAATGACTTGAAGTCTGTGGGGAAGGATGTTATTACTAGGGGGTAGGGGGATGGCGGGCAGGGCCTTGGAACCGTACCAGCGCTGGGCTTCAGGGGCGCGTGTGGGAGAATCCTCCCAACAGAAGTGTGACACTCTCCTCCCAATCTACTCCCAATGTCTTCCAACCTCACAGAACTGCAAACCAATAATAAATCAATAAAATCAGATTTTTAAATATATCAAAATACTCATTTGCTTAGCAGGATATTACACAAACAAGGTGCTTTTTGGTCTGCATTTCCTAATTGACTATATAAAAATTAAGGATCAACAACTCCTATACCAACAGGCATACTAAGAAAAATACTGTAGCACTGTCCTCCCATTGTTCATCGATTTGCTTGAGCAGGCACCAGCAATGTCTCCATCGTGAGACTTGTTGTTACTGTGTTTGGCATATCGAATACGTCACGGGGAGCTTGCCAGGCTCTGCCGTGCGGGCGAGATACTCTCGGCAGCTTGCCGGTAGCTCTCCTAAGACTAATTATTTATTTATTAACCCCAAATTTTTTAAAACACCTATTTCCATCATTACTCTAAAGATGGAATGTTATCATCTTTGTTTTAAAGAGAGAGATTGGTATTTCCTCCAAAGAAACTCAAGCGTATTCCTCTGGTTTTCTGTAATGCCTTTCTGTCAAGTGCACATGAACCGCATTTCCTAACGCCAAGTCTGAAGAATGGTTACAAGCACCTCCTCCAGACTCCTACCTCCAATTATTACTCATCTAACTGTGTGCATGTGTGTGTGTGTATGTGTGTGTGTGTGTGTGTGTGTGTGTGTTCATGCCAGTTGACGGTGCAACCAGTCTGCTAGAAGGGAAACACAGAGAACAACGGCTGCAGAACGCAACAGTCTAACTGCAGTAACCAAGTCGGGACCCTACCTGGGTTATTGTTGACATTACTTTTGGGTGGCTTCTGGAGCGGTTTGGGAAGTGTAGACTCCGTGAGTGCTTTCTTAGCGGCAGCTTGTTGCGCCTTCTTTATACTGCTCCCTTCCGACTCCCAGGTCTGCTCGCCGAGACTCAGCTGCACTGAGAACATCTTCAAAAAACACAAAGAAAATATTCATTTTTTTTAAGAAATAAAATAATCCAGCTCACAGAAAAGAGATCACAAATTCAATTTTTTTAGAGCTAGGGATTACCTCAAACATCATTTGCAATAAAAATCTGACTCATCCTAGTTAAAGAATTTTATTAAATTCTTTAATTTATTAATTTAAATTTTTAATCTGTTAAATTTATTAAAATTTATTAAAGATTGTCCCCAGCTCTGTTTTATCCAACAATTAAACAATCTTAAAAAGTTCTATGTGGGGGCTGGAGCTACAGTACAGCGGGTAGGGCATTTGCCTTGCACGCGGCTAACCCGAGTTCAATTCCCAGCATCCCATATGGTCCCCCAAGCACTGCCAGGAGTAATTCCTGAGTGCAGAGCCAGGAGTAAACCCTGTCAATCGCCGGGTTTTTAAAAAATTAAAAAGCTCTAAGTGGAAGGTGGAGCCTTCGTACAGCAGGAAAGGTCTGGGCTCAATCCCCAGAACACACGAGCCCCCAAGCCGCACCAGGAGTGATCCCTGAGTTAGGAGTAAGCCCTGAACACAACCAGGTGTGGCCCCCCCCAAAAAAAAAACTGTATGTGTACATTTTGAGGAGAACAAATCAAGAAGAAATCATACCACTAAACAGAATCATATTGTAAAAAGTTTAATTAGCACAAAAAAAAATTAAGAGAATCCAAAAGGCTCTACTTCTAGTGACACTTTTATAAAATCTAATTCCTTCAAGTTTATATTTAGAAAAATACTAGTCGATGAAACAGGGAAGTCAATGAATAATACATCATAGGAAGCTCTTAATCCCTCACAAACATTTAACCCAGTCACCAAATGAGAGAATTTGGGAGTATTTAACCTCACAAATATTTCTTCTCACTGATGGCCATACACTGGTCCAGTTTCTTCTTATCTCTGGCTTAGCCTTACTCACATGCAAACTGATTACCACCAAAACTCTATTTCCAAAACTCAAATCCAACTGCTTTACTGCCATCCACACTAGACTAAAAACAATTGACTGTTCCATTCTAACATGATTGAGATATTAGATATAAACAATAAATTTCACTTTAATGATAAATAAATTCACTGCTTCATTTCAAATACACCATTCCCTTATATATTCAATCTATATGAAATTTGTCACACCATATTTGGAGCACAATGTCATTTAACTTTAAAACTGAGGATCACGTTACCTGATACAAAATCCACCATTTTATTCCACATTTAGCTTATTACTTTATATTCCTAAAGTAATAACACAAACAGACTTATTAACTTCAAACAAATAAATGTATCTTTGTAGGAAGAGATAATGTAGAAAATACTTTTAACAAACAAGTTAATAATCAGGCAAACTGGTACCATGCCTCCTGATATGGTCCAACAAGAAGTATCTAGTGGCCTTGGCTGAAAATGTTTAACAAGACTCTCATCACAGGTAACAATCAGAAAGCTGTAAATCAAGAAATATTTTAGAAGACAACTTGTCTAAAAGCTTCAAAATGCCACTGTTATAAAAGGAAAAATAAACAAAACCAAAGAATCGGGGATGGGATCTATTACCGCAAAAGAACATATATGAAAAGATAAAGTAAAATACCAGTATGCGGCAGGAGGGATAGTACAGCAGGTAGGGCGTTTGCCTGGCTGACCTGGGTTCGATCCCCAACATCCCATATGGTCCCCTGAGCACCGCCAGGAGTAATTCCTGAGTGCAGAGCCAGGAGTAACCTCTGAGCATCGCTGGGTGTGACCTAAAAATAAATTCCTGAATACAGAGCCAGGAGTAAGTCCTGAGCATTGCTAAATGTGACCCCCCCCCAAAAAAAAAAATACACATATGATCCTGAATGAGCTGATATTGAGACCAAAAATGAGTATAAAGGGTATTTAAAGATATGGGGATTAGACTATGGATTGTATTAAATAATATATTCAGTTAAGTTATTTGAGTGACAATGGTATTTAGGTACAAAGAAGAATGTCTGAAAATCAAAATAGCTGAAATCTGTTTTCAAGTTGTCCAAGGGAATCCAAGATTTTTTCAAATTAGTAAATCTAAACTTTTTTGCATTTTCAAATTAGTACATCTAAAATGTTTGCCTTGCATGCAGCTGAGCCAGGTTCAATTCCTCTGCCCCTCTTGGAGAGCTTGGCAAGCTACCGAGAGTATCTCACCCGCACAGCAAAGCCTGGCAAGCTCCCTGTGACGTATTCGATATGCCAAAAACAGTAACAACAAGTCTCACAATTTGTTGTGAGACATTACTGGTGCCCACTCGAGCAAATTGATGAACAACGGGAGGACAGTGCTCCAGTGCTGCATCTAAAATATATACAACAGGCCGATGCGATTCTGTCAGAATTCCTTCAGACTTTGAATCTGGGGGAGTTTGGGGTGGGGGAGCACTACACACGGGGATACTCAGGACGCGAACCCAGCTCAGGCCTCGAAGTCACTCCTGTCAGTGCTCAGGGAACGATGCAGCACCAAGGCCTGAATCCAGGGCTCCCACAAAGTAGCCCAGCCTTTGATGCATTTCTCTTAACACCAGCTTTCAATTTTTTTTTTAATCTAGAACTGGAAAATATTTGCAATCATTTGAAATTCAAAATATAAACATAACTAGAACTGATCAATTTTTCTTTGACTCTGATTCAGTCTAAAAGCCATCTAATATCAATAAATATATAAAATGTATTTTATTTACCGTAAAGTAATTTTTCAAGGAGAACAGCAGTGTCACACTTTCCAAAACAAATTATACAACAAACCTACAGTAACCAAAAATAATATGCTATTGGACAGAGATCAATGGGAGAGAAATGAGAATGCGGAAATCAGCCCACACACATGGACTTGTATGGCAAAGGAATCACAGAGACGACAAGCAGGTCTCTTCAATAAACGGTGCTCAGAAAACTGAACTGCCACATGCAAAAGAACATGTGCCGCAGAGTCAGGCTGTGGGGTGGAAAAAACTGGGTCAAGGGTGGAGGGCATCGGACACTGGTGAAGGGATCGCTATTACAACAGCATAGGCCTGAAACTCAATCCTAAATATCTTTGTAACTTTGTAATTCATAGCAATTCAATAAAAAATTAAAATTAAGGGGCAGGAGCCATAGCACAGCGGGTGGGGCATTTGCCTTGCACAGGCTGGGCCGACCCAGGTTCGGGGCTCAGCATCCCACATGGTCCCCGAGCACGGCCAGGAGTGATTCCTGAGTGCAGAGCCAGAACTAATCCCTGAGCATTGCCAGTGTGACCCAAAAAGCCAAAAAAAAAATTAAAAACTGAAAAAGTTGAATTTTTTTAAAAAAAAGAATGAAACCTGGACTGAAATGACAGTGCAGGGGTCACGGCACTCGCCTGCCGCGCACACAGCTGATCCCAGCTCCACCCCAGCCCCAGGAGCGACTTCCAGCCTGCTGGCTGTGGCCCTCTCCAGCCAACAAAAGAATAAATCAGACTGTTTTCCACTACATGCAGAAATTAATTCAAAATAAATCAGAGACTTAGAGGCACGACCTAACGTCATAAAATAAACAAAAAAAAGACATGGGTAATACACTTCACAACAATGGTCTCGCTGAGGCCTTTGAAGATCTCTCCCCAGTAGCAAGTGAAAATAAATAATCAGGCTATAGCAAATGGAAAAGCTCCTGCACGGCAAAAGAAACTATTATGCAAACAAAAAAGACATCTACTGAATAGAAGATATTTGCAAATCCAGCATCCAATATGGGGTTCATATACAAGATACTTAAAAAAAAAATGAGCGGGCCTGAGAGACAGAGGGCAGGGCACTTTCCTTGCAGGCAACCAACCCAGGTTCAATCCCAGGACCCCATGAGCTCCCTGATCACGGTCAGGACTGATCCGTGAGCACAGAGCCAGTCGTAAGCCTTGAGCACCACCAGGTGTGCCCCAAAATGAAACAAAACCAAAAAACACAGGGGCGGGAATAGCGGTACTGCAGATAAGGCATTTGTCTGGCGTGCAGCAGATCAGGGTTCTATCCCCAGCATCCCATAGGTCCCCCAAGCACTCTCAAACCATTCCTGGGTACGGAGTCAAGAGTAAACCCCAAGCATCCCTGAGTATGACCCAAATAAAACATCAAGTTGAGCGCCTAGGAGGTAGCTGACGTGGAAGGGCTGGCCTCAATTCAATCCTGGAGCCACAAGCTCCATCCCGTGCCAGCAGCCCCCTGTGACGCTGCTGGCCCCGAAGGCACAGCTTGAGACCACAATGGCCCGAGCACTGTTAGGTGCAAGTTCTTTTTAAAAATTAAAACAAAAATAAAGTCCTTTTTAAAAAGCTCATATGATTCAACAAAAAAAAAAAAAGAAAGAAAGAAAGAAAAACTGGGCAGATTATGTCTAAAAAGGGCATACACACAGCCAACAGTCACATGAAAAAGTGTTCGTCATACCTTGTTTTTTTTTGTTTTGTTTTTATGTTTAGGTCAGACCCGGTGGTGCTCAGGGCTTACTCCTGGCTCTGCACTCAAGAATCACCTCTAACCATGGGGGACCATACAGGGTGCCAGGGATTAAACTCAGGTCAAGCCAAGCGCCCAACCCACCGTACTATTACCACTCAGCCCCATCATACTTTATGATCAGAGAAGTTCAAATTAAATCACAGTATCACCTCACAGAATGACCTATATCACAAAGATCAAAACAAAAGACCAAAACCTGCATATACCACAGATGGGAGTAAGGGATTATAAAGTTGCCATCTTTAGAAAAAGTATGAAGATTCCTCAAACTATGAAAGCTAGATATAGTATATGATTCAGCAATTCCATTCAATTCCCTAAGAACATAGAGTAACTTAAAAAGGTATTTGCACTTTATCATTTCAGTACTATTGACAATCGCCAAGATAAACGAACCTAGTGCTCCATGACAGATTACTAGAGAAAGAAGATCTTCATTGGGATACTAATCAAATTTTATTATGTTC